CATCATCACTATCATCATCACGCACATCAAAACCACAACCACCAGCAGCATGCTGTATGTCTGGAAATTATGATATATTAGCTTAGGGAATTACTCAGTCGAGCGGTTAAGAATCCTGATCTCCCACTGGAGAAACCCAGGTTGGAATCTTCAGTAAGATGATGCATGTTTTTTTCTTCGGACGAGAAAAACAACCCATTACGCTGTATGTGTTGACTGCACCAGCCATGCAACCTTAAATGCTCAGTCTTGACAAACCCGAATAAGAAGCACAACGAGGAAACATTTTAAAATTTATGCACAGTTGGATCACTATCACTTGGCAAAATTAATTGCTTAACAATGTTAAATATGTGTGTGTGCTGTGAGTGTTTGGGGTGAATGCGTGCGTGTGTGAGTGTGTGAGTGCGCATGTGTGCGTATGAGTGTGGTGGGCGTGGGAGTGTTTGCATGTATTAGTGAGACAGACAGTGTGTGTGAGTGTATCCAGATTGCCCTGTCGACCTGAGATCTCACTAGAATGATCCAGATTGCCCTGTCGACCTGAGATCTCATTAGAGAGATCCAGATTGCCCTGTCGACCTGAGATCTCATTATAGAGATCCAAATTGCCCTGTCGACCTGAGATCTCATTAGAAAGATCCAGATTGCCTTGTCGACCTGAGTTCTCACTGGAGAGATCCAGATTTGAATCTTCGGAAAAATTATGGTTGTTTTCTTCTTTAGGAAAACAGACAGCTTGATCCAAAGATTGCTAGGTGATTGCACAAGCCAAGCATCCTCAATCTCCGGCTTAAGACCTCCATGTCTTGCACCGACTTCAAATTAGATAAATACAGTATGTATAATTAACAAAGAGACAATGTAGTGATCGGCACTCATAGAAAGAGGAAGGAAGATAGAAGGACACACTAGACAATATAAAAATCAAAAGATTTAGTTATCGTTAAAGGAATCGAATCTGTCACCTCCGAATGGCGTCTACTCCTCTCTATGGAAAGAAGCCTATTTACAACACAACCATCTTAGGATCCCCCCACCCCCACCCCAACTCCAAAAAAAAAAAGGTTTCCCCATTTGACATGTCTATCGTACAGCTTGAAATCCACAACTACGGAATACAGACAATTCGTCTCAAACCATTGAAATGGCACCATAGGTTACAGAAATTATTTATTTATATATTAATAATTATGTTTTGTATTTATTAGATAAAAACAAGCAGTAAAACCAGGAGGACGAGAGGAAAACAATGGAGGAAGTGATACCCATTCAAAATTTGCATGCGGGGGTGGGGGGTGGGGTGTAAAATAAAGGGGAAATCGCGACTAAATAAAAGGCAACAAACAACAATTCGCTGGTCTCATGTGTTGGGATAAAAGATGCAGAAATCGCAGCCTAGCCGTATGCCAATCATCTATTTAAAAGCAGACAGAAGAAGAACAAGAAATAATATATCAGGCACAGTTTTTAGACGCTTGCTTTCCGACGCGGAGGTAATGTATGAGGTTGAATTTATAAAAACTGACCTAGGTCTCCTAGACTGACATAACCTAACATAGATACCAGGAATACCTCTTGGGAAGTAAAGTCGGCCGGCATGATGTTGACTACATCACCTATCAAGGTTAGACTAGTGTATAAGAATATGGCTCGAATAACGAATGCCCTATGTGTAATGACGTGACAGCCGAGATCCCGAAATTTTATTATCTGGATAAGTGATGTATAAATACATCAACGGGAAATCCCCACTGACGTCATTACGGGAATTTACAAACTGACGGTTTCTCTCTTCACCCTTATACAAAAAGAAATGTTATGTGGAAAATAAAACATGCAAATATTACATAGCATATATCGGTCTATAGAATGAACACTAGACCTCTGTAAACCGGGCTGAATCTTCTAACCACACAAATAATTCTGCCTCATAAGTTACAGTTTATATGAGCTTCAATCAATAAATATGACGTCTCATACGGACTAGTTAAGACACTAGACATACAAGTTAGAGCTGGAGATGGTGATACCTTGATGAATGTATTCTCTCCTCCTCTAGAATATCTAAAGTGAATCTGACACATTGATGAATGTTTTTTCTCCTCGACTAGAACATCTGAGCTGAAGATGATGATACTTTGATGAATGTATTCTCTCCTCCAGTAGAACATCTTAACTCACACGTAAAAGTAATTTTATTTGCAATCTGAAATCACAGTTTCAACAAATACAGAACGCCGTGTGTGAAATATCTAAGTGGGAGATGGCTACAAGCGAACAGTGTGTGATGACATCTGCAGACACTGAAAAGCAAAACATGAATACAGGTACAGCATATGATAGTTCTTTTACAATATGTCAAAGTACACTTGCAATCTGTGAGAGTAAACATACGATATTTGATAGTACAGATACAGCATGTGAGAGTACATATACAATATGTGAGAGTACAGATACAATATGTTGGAGTACAGATACAATATGTGAGAGTACAGATACAATATGTGGGAGTACAGATATAATATGTGAGAGTACACATACAATATGTGAGAGTACAGATACAATATGTGAGAGTACAGATACAATATGTGAGAGTAGACATACAATATTTGAGAGTACATATACAATATGTGAGAGTACAGATATAATATGTGACAGTACACATACAATATGTGAGAGTACAGATGCAATATGTGAGAGTACATATACAATATGTGAGAGTACAGATACAATATGTGAGAGTAGACATACAAAATGTGAGAGTACACTTACAATATGTGAGAATACAGATGCAATATGTGAGAGTACATATACAATATGTGAGAGTACAGATACAATATATGAGAGTACATATACAATATGTGAGAGAACACATACAACATGTGAGAGAACAGATGTAGTATATAAGAGCAAGAATACAACATGTTAAAGTGTAGATGCATACAATATCATCATCATGGGCCCTGCCAGCTAAAGTAGGCGCTCAATGTCTCCACAGATCACGGACCGTGGTTGCCTGGAACAGCTCTCTTTAATGATATCCCTCTGTGCGATCGCTTCAGCCCATCCAGCATTATCTCTCTTGATCTGTCTATGCCTTTTCCCACTAATCTTTCCAGTTGGCACGATGTACTCCAATGTCTCCCTTCTCATTGTGTGGCCAAAGAAAGTGTTTGTCTCTTTCTTATTGTTATATAGAGATGTTAGTTACTCTGGCCGTCCAAGGCATTCGTAACATTGGTCTCAGAAACTACATCTCTGTTGCTTCCGAATTGTTCTTAATCTTCTTCACCAAGATTCACTGCCATATGCAGAACAGGTTCTATGTAACATTTTAGCACCATCTTTCTGACAGTAAATTAGAGCGATTTATTGCATAAGAAATTTTTCATTTTCTGAAATGCCTCTTTAGCTTGACCTATTATTCTGCTTTTAATCTCTGCCACACATTTTCCATCTGATGATATGATTGTTCCCAGATAATTACATTTATTGACTTAGTTCATTCTTTTTCCTTCAACTGAGATATCAAAAAGTGTAGTTATTCTTTTTTTTTTGGGGGGAGGGGGGAGGGATATAACCATTACTTAAATTTTCCTAATATTCAGTGAAAGTCCTTTCTTAGCACTCTTCTTCCCCACAATACCCAGCATTTGTTGTAAATCAGTTGTATTTTCAGCTACATACAATACAATGTACAGATACAATATACATTATGCAAAACAAAAAAGTGTGAGTACCTACATTACTCAAGAAATACACAGAATTGTCCGATCTGTTGTGAGTAAATGTTTGTTCTTTGTGACATGTATAAAAAAAAGGGTTTAAGTTTAAATATTGATATGTGGGAGAGAGATTATAACTAGCTGTGGTAACAGTGACTAATGCAGATTTGAATATAGAGACAGAGAATGAAAGAAACTGAAACAGTACCAGATAGAAAGAATCTGTTAGAGTGACTAAGATTTGAAAAAGATATGAAAATGAAAGAAAGAGACATTATGAAAATTATAGAAGACCTATGAATAGTCTGTTATATAGAGACTGGATTTAAGAGAAAATGGCAAAGCTGGAATAGTTATACTGAGTAGAGGACACACTTAGAAAGGTCAAAATGGAGATAAGGTCTTAGCGAAAAGTGGGAAAGTTTGAGATTGTGAGACTGAATGTGAGACACCTAAAGGAGCAGGAGATACCGACCTGGGATATTTTTCAAACGCATGCTTACATATTTTGTTTCATAATACAGCGCTTCATGTAAATTTTTTTGTTCCATTATGTATTTCCCAGCTTCATATTGACTCGCTTGCTGAGACACACCGTTATCTTGTCCGCTGAATTTTACGATCACAATTTGTGTTGTATTTAGTATAATGTTGATAAAGACTTTGGTCGAAGCCTTCCCTTGTATCTCTGTGTGTCTTTTCCATTCCCTCCATTGAGTTTTTTAGTCACATTTTATTTTGTAATTAGTACATTTATGTTTGCCTAATATGGATAGCTGCCCTTTCATGAGCTGACCATCCCAACTTATCATACTGTTATTTAACATATGTGAGGATATGGCACTCAACAACCGATATTGGTATTTGCCATGGGGTTGTGCTTACCTTACAAGTATTTGAATTATTTCAAGAAAATAAATGAATTTTAAACATAATTCTGTTTGTTCTTCTTCTGTTCGCTTGAAAGCGATTACCTATATCTGCAATATTGTCTTGAGTATGAATATCACTGTTTGTTGTAATTCACTCAGTGACCTGTAAAGTTTAGCTTGCACCGATGTTTCTCTTGGCCAACAGTTTTACCTTGAAATGTTGTATTTGGGACATTCTTGGATGACATGATCTGTTGTCTCAGGTGCCAATCCATGTGTGCACATGGCTGATTCGCCAGTCATAAATTTTGTGTAAATGTACACGTATAAATAATAATAACTGCCTATATGGGTTCTAAGTCCTCATTTTGGGGGAGAGGGCTGTGGGAGAATAGACTGACCGGTCCCTAACAATCATTTTGTAAAAGGCGACTAATTGGAAATGTTTCCTTCGAAGACAGGGTATATTTGCCGGAGAGGCAGGGAACCGACAGTCTGCATACAAATAAAGCAGATCTGTAAAATGGATATGCTGATTAAACTAAAGTTCTGGAACAAGCCTTAAATCCAGAAAGGGATAAATAACCAGAACTTTCGCTGGGGAATACAGCTGGTGAATAATAATAATAACAATTATAATAATAATAAAATAATATGAGACAAAATGTTATGTTCATTTTTTCTAGAATTGGATACAGCCAGCAGCAGACTGACCACAGAAAGCCAAGACAACACATACGATTCTTTGACTCTAGCCAAACTGGACCGGGAAAATCAAGGTTGGTTCAAGTTGAGTTGGCTTCTAAAAACTGCTATCAGAGCACTCGGGACATTTCCATAAGCACTCTTTTCCTATCTTCAGCAGCTAGCGAAGTTTTTCAGCTCCGATGGTGCCAGTAGCCAACTGATTGTATGTCCGTCTCTCCTTTCCTCAGAGTGTGGAGTGTCGGCCAGATTCCCTCGCCACTCCCTATTGCCCATTCTCTTCAGACCGTGATAATCTAAGTGTGCCTCCTTTTAATTCATTCCCTCCCAAAGAGTTTTGACTACATCTAGCTTTTCATACATAAATTTGATAAAGAATGGTGCAGAACCAGACAATCTATCCGTCTATTAGTGTCCCAGGATTTCTGAAGCAATGTCAGCCAAACTGCATAAAACATACCTGTTTTTAATTTTCTCAGCGCGCTTCTCCGGGAAAACAGGCAATGTTATCGAAAGTAAAACCAGGTGAGGTCCTTGACATGTTCTGTATCTATTTAGCAGCTCCCTACATTGATGGTGTAATTTGGTCCATGACATGATGTCTTGTATCTATTTACCAGCTCCATACATTCTTCTTCTTCTTTTGTCAAAATCTGCTTGTGCCGCTAGGCGTCGCAGTCTATCAGATAATGGGCAACCGAGCCAGGGCGCGCTCAGTCGCTTCATATGCCGTGATGTTATGAAGTCTCAAGTTGTCCGTGACTCCTTCAATCCATCTTATTCTTGGTCTTCCCCTGCTTCTTGGTGTTTCGATTTTCATGTTGTATGCTCTTGATGCTGGCATCGATGGTTCCATTCTCATTAGGTGACCAAACCATTTCATTCTTTGCTTCTCAATAAATTTAACGATGGGTATGGTTCCAATAGTTCTTGTAATCACATCGTGATCCATACTTTAATGATGTAATATTGTCTATGACAAGATGTCTTGTATCTATCTACCAGGTCCATGGGAGTGTGAGTACAGTTATGGGGGAGAGGCTGACCTTCACAGACATTACGAAAGGTGTCAGAAAAATCCAGGACACAAGAACTTTATACCTGTAGACAAGTTCAGTATTGAATATCTTCCCGAAGATTACCGCGACAAGGAAGTGGTAGATTATATCCGAGCAGTGTCAGACCTGACAGTTCGTGTGTCAGTCGGGTATGTCAGTGAAAAGAGACCAGAGACCGTTCCTAATACTAACAAGCCCTACCCATGTTACAGTGTCAGGGGTCAGTGTAGGTTGACAGTTGGGACAGGGTTTGTCAGGTCTGTAGATGTGTTCACTTCAGATCTGGGACACCACTGTGGATGTAAGGATTGTTTGAACTCTTCTACACCAGAGATGAACTTTGCTATAGTTGAAGTGATTACCGCAACCCATGTAGTCTTTGACGGTCTTGAGGGAGAACACACCACGTGCCATCTGTTCTTTGACAGAGGAGGTACTCCAGACACTTGTAGCGGTGTCGTCACACTGCCTGGCATGTCAAATGTTTTCAATAATGTTCCTGAAGATTGCTGTTTCATGTACCATTATACACATGACCTGGATCTCGCACGTAAACTTCTGCAGACAACACAGCAAATGTACAGATTAAGTTACATCCTTACGAACGATAACAAGTTTTATTTTCGTATAGTCAAACAAAACAGAGATGTTCTAGATAAGCAGCCATTGTTGTTTTTAGTGTCTCACCCTCACGGATGTAGTAAACAGATCAGTCTGGGCTACGTCACAAGTGCACACAAGTTCAATGATGCCATCGTGAATTTGTTCTACAACACGGCTACGTGTCCAGGGTCTAGTGGCGCTCATGTGCTTGTAACTGAGAATTTTACATCTCTAGGTTTAGAAAAAGTATTATTGTTTTCTTGTGCGGTTCATTGTGGTGTTTCTGAGGAGCAGCATGAGTTCAATTTTTGTGAGTCTGATAAAGGTCAGTAAGTATAGGTTTTATATATATATATATATATATATATATATATATATATATATATATATATATATATATGTCTGTATATATATATATATATATATATGTCTGTATATATATATATATATATATATATATATATGTCTGTATATATATATATATATATATATATATATATATATATATATATTTAACTTTGTATCTTGATAACTGTGCAATTCTTATTTTTTTGGGTAATCCCACACGTGTTTAAGATCTTTTTAAATCCCATATTGATATACAGAAGTGAATCAAGGAGAAAAAGCTGGTTCTTCTTCTTAAAGTCAATGCCGTGTGATGTTGGTAGTATGTCTATCCACAACTTTCTGTCTCGTGTACTTTCAGTCAACTCTTACACAGATGATCTTCCATGCTGTGATGTCAAACTGTCCAGCATTTTTTCTCTCGATCTCCCTCTGCCTCTTCTTCTCTCTAACTTTCCTGCCGTCACAATGTACTCCAGTTTTCTCTTTCTCATCACACGACCAAAGAATGTAGATATTCTCTTTCTGATGTGGGCATTGAGTTTTTTTCGTGAGTCAGTTTTATTCAAGACGCTGTCATTACTGTTTTATATGTCCAGCGTACTGTCATTATTCGTATATAAAACCACATCTCCACAGCTTCTAAAAAAAATTTTCAATAAACTACCAAATGTCCATGATTCAGACTGAGACCCTTGTTTTCACTTTCCGTTACAATTATATGAATCATTTCTTGTGTTTAATTTTCAGGGGTCAAAACTATATCGTCAGCATATCACAGGTTGTTAAAAATATGCTTACCAACCGATAAATCTGGCATACCACGTGGTGATCTAATTATTTTTTTTACTTCACAAACTGAATAAATAGGGTGATAGTACACTTTCCAGTCTAAAGTCTTGTTTATTGTTTTTAAAATTTCCAACTTGGTTGTCTATCCTCATAGCTGCTTTTTGTTGCCAATATAGGTTTTGTTTTAATAATCCTCAGATCTTTGTCATTAATGTTTAAGGCTTCCAAAGTTCTAATAATTTCTTGAAGTCTCACTTTATCAAATGCTGATTATTGCAACAATATATGTGAAAATGGCAGAGATGTGATTCTATAGACAATGGGCAGATTGAAGTAATATTGTATTGACTGAAATTAACAAAGATAATGATTACCCAAATTAGGTGACAAACTACATTATTTGTTTCTGTCATTAGTAGGTGAAAACTGGACTATGCACCGTGACAGTCTAAAAGTGTGAAATGAAAAGGAGCAGAGGAAGGCGAGAGAGAAGATGCAGGACAGTTTGACAACATGGCACGGAGGATCATCTGTGTCAGAAATTCAAAGTACTAGAGAAAAAAGACTGTGGCTGCACACGACTACCAACACCACACGACTACCAACACCACAACATATGCACAATTATAAGAAGCCTGGCAATTCGCTTGTACAAGCAATTATGGCTGTCACCTTTCTTATGGTGTGTTACGGATTGTGCTGTTTGTTCATCATCTTATCGGTTCTTTAACTTTGGTGACTTCTTCTTCTTCCTCTGCACTCGCCCTTAAAATTGTAATTAGCCCACTGTTCTGTGATATACCTCACTGCTAGGCTGCGATATTTGAATCTTTTAGCTCAACAAATCTGATTTCAGCAAACCCCTACTTCGTCACCCTTTAAGACATGCTTGATAGAGGTCAAAGGTCCTATCTCTCTCCCCCCCCCCCCCTCCCCCCTCCTTTTTCCCATAATGAAACCTATAACTCACGTATGAAATTTTGGAATACGAATTGTTCTGGTATTCTGGCCCTGTTTAATATATTGCTGTTATGTTAAAAATAGGTTGCCAATTTTAATTATATGTTGTAATTGTTAAGGATAAAAACAATAAACTAAAACAATGATAGGGCAACAGTTAAGAGTAGGACAAACACTAAACTAAACCTGTGACAGGGTAACCGTTAGGAGAGGAGAAACATATAACTAAAACTGTTATAGTGTAACCGTTGAGGGAGGAGAAACACTTAACTAAAACTGTAATAGTGTAACCGTTAAGGGAGAAAAAACAATAAACTAAAACTGTGACAGTGTAACGACTAAGGGGAGGAGAAACACGTAACTAAAGTTGTGATATTGTAACCGTTAGGAGGAGGTAAAACACTTAACTAAAACTGTGATAGTGTAACCACTAGGGGGAGGAGAAACACTTAACTAAAACTGTGATAGTGAAACCGTTAGGAGGAGGTAAAACACTTAACTAAAACTGTGATAGTGAAACCGTTAGGAGGAGGTAAAACACTTAACTAAAACTGTGATAGTGTAACCGTTAGGAGGAGGTAAAACACTTAACTAAAACTGTGATAGTGAAACCGTTAAGGGGAGGTAAAACACTTAACTAAAACTGTGAAAGTGAAACCGTTAGGAGGAGGTAAAACACTTAACTAAAACTGTGATAGTGAAACCGTTAGGAGGAGGTAAAACACTTAACTAAAACTGTGATAGTGAAACTGTTAGGAGGAGGTAAAACACTTAACTAAAACTGTGATAGTGAAACCGTTAGGAGGAGGTAAAACACTTAACTAAAACTGTGATAGTGAAACCGTTAAGAAGGAGGTAAAACACTTAACTAAAACTGTGATAGTGAAACCGTTAAGGAGGAGGTAAAACACTTAACTAAAACTGTGATAGTGAAACCGTTAAGGAGGAGGTAAAACACTTAACTAAAACTGTGATAGTGAAACCGTTAAGGAGGAGGTAAAACACTTAACTAAAACTGTGATAGTGAAACCGTTAAGGAGGAGGTAAAACACTTAACTAAAACTGTGATAGTGAAACCGTTAAGGAGGAGGTAAAACACTTAACTAAAACTGTGATAGTGAAACCGTTAAGGAGGAGGTAAAACACTTAACTAAAACTGTGATAGTGAAACCGTTAAGGAGGAGGTAAAACACTTAACTAAAACTGTGATAGTGAAACCGTTAAGGAGGAGGTAAAACACTTAACTAAAACTGTGATAGTGAAACCGTTAAGGAGGAGGTAAAACACTTAACTAAAACTGTGATAGTGAAACCGTTAAGGAGGAGGTAAAACACTTAACTAAAACTGTGATAGTGAAACCGTTAAGGAGGAGGTAAAACACTAAACTAAAACTGTGATAGCGAAACCGTTAAGGAGGAGGTAAAACACTTAACTAAAACTGTGATAGCGAAACCGTTAAGGAGGAGTTAAAACACTTAACTAAAACTGTGATAGTGAAACCGTTAGGAGGAGGTAAAACACTTAACTAAAACTGTGATAGTGAAACCGTTAGGAGGAGGTAAAACACTTAACTAAAACTGTGATAGTGAAACCGTTAAGGAGGAGGTAAAACACTTAACTAAAACTGTGATAGTGAAACCGTTAAGGAGGAGGTAAAACACTTAACTAAAACTGTGATAGTGAAACCGTTAAGGAGGAGGTAAAACACTTAACTAAAACTGTGATAGTGAAACCGTTAAGGAGGAGGTAAAACACTTAACTAAAACTGTGATAGTGAAACCGTTAAGGAGGAGGTAAAACACTTAACTAAAACTGTGATAGTGAAACCGTTAAGGAGGAGGTAAAACACTTAACTAAAACTGTGATAGTGAAACCGTTAAGGAGGAGGTAAAACACTTAACTAAAACTGTGATAGTGAAACCGTTAAGGAGGAGGTAAAACACTTAACTAAAACTGTGATAGTGAAACCGTTAAGGAGGAGGTAAAACACTTAACTAAAACTGTGATAGTGAAACCGTTAAGGAGGAGGTAAAACACTTAACTAAAACTGTGATAGTGAAACCGTTAAGGAGGAGGTAAAACACTTAACTAAAACTGTGATAGTGAAACCGTTAAGGAGGAGTTAAAACACTTAACTAAAACTGTGATAGTGAAACCGTTAGGAGGAGGTAAAACACTTAACTAAAACTGTGATAGTGAAACCGTTAGGAGGAGGTAAAACACTTAACTAAAACTGTGATAGTGAAACCGTTAAGGAGGAGGTAAAACACTTAACTAAAACTGTGATAGTGAAACCGTTAAGGAGGAGGTAAAACACTTAACTAAAACTGTGATAGTGAAACCGTTAAGGAGGAGGTAAAACACTTAACTAAAACTGTGATAGTGAAACCGTTAGGAGGAGGTAAAACACTTAAGTAAAACTGTGATAATGAAACCGTTAAGGAAAGGAGAAACATTTAACTAAAACTGTGATAGTGTAACTGCTAAGAGGAGGAGAAACACTTAACTAAAGATGTGATAGTGTAACGGTTAAGGGAAGGAGAAACACTTAACTAAAACTGTGAAAGTGTAATCGTTAGGAGTAGGAGAAAAAACACTTAACTAAAGCTGTGATAGTGTAACCGATAAGAGAAGGGAAACACTTTGCTGAAACTGTGATAGTGTAACCGTTAGGAGAAGGAGAACACATAACTAATGCTGTGATAGTGTAACCTTTAGGAGGAGGTGAAACACTTAAGGAAAAATGTGATAGTGTAACCATTAGGAGGAGGTGAAACGCCTAACTAAAGCTGTGATAGTGTAACCGTTGAGGAAAGTGGAAACACTTACCTAAACCTGTTATGGTGCAACAGTCATAAATAGGAAACACAACTAAATTCCAGTATATTCAATTTGCAATAAGAAATACAATTTTTCCGGATACCATAGGGAACGTCGACAGAGTTATGGCGTTCGTGCTTTGTGTGACGCTCTTGGAGGGCGGCTAGCTGTTCTGCAAAGAGAGATCAAATTATATGTGATTACTTTCCAACGAAGTCAATTCACTCTACTGTGTCTGACTGACTAATCTAAATTTTCAATTTGTGACTCTTCTGTCCAGGTTTCTTCGCATTCAACTTAATAACACCTGACACGCTACGTTTGAATTCAGGTTAGTTATGTTTGTTAATGTGCAGAAAGATTTAGTCAGCATGAGTTGTGTTAAATTAATTTACAGGATGATGTAGATAGCATGA